TTGTCATCTTAGTGATTCATGTAGACTCCTGACTGTCCAGTTAACGATTCACAGAATCCACCCTGATTCCGTTCAACCTCACAGATTCCTAACAATTCTATACAATTTCTTCTTATTTCTTCAGCAGTTTGAACAGTGTTGAGAGCCTCAAACATGGTGTAGACATTTCATATTCCTATACATAACTTTTCTGTTATTGGGGAAGGATATAGTTACCGGCTGGCTTCTGAAAATCCTCATCATCCAGCGTCATCAAACCTCAAACTGAGGAGTCTTGCCAATTTTACCAGACTACAATTTGATATTTCCTGTTTTAGAGTTTAAATATTGACGGGTTGATTCCCTTAACGAGTTGGGTCGCTAGTTGGGTGCTCAAATCTCAATCTTTTCCCAGCTTAAGGTTGGCTAGTAGATCAGACGAGGTCAAATAAGCCTAATACACCTGTGAAATCTACTGTGAACGTTGGCATTTCAGAAAATACTTCATTCAGTACCACTCAGGAAGGTAATATCAGACTACATTAAGAAACTGGTCCCGTAATCAGGTCAGTTGTCCACAGGTCACTGGTCCAGTTCATGCCATAGTGTAGTCACTTTACTTTGAACAATGCTGTTATAAAAGACATTACCACAAGCGTTTCAGTGAGAAGTCATATCCAGCGATGAATTGTATCATCTCATATGAAATTACCAGAACTGAAATACACACTGAGATGGACCGTATTTTCTACTGTTTTCTGAAATTATATACAGTTTCCGTAATTAGAATATTATTCCTACTACTTTACGTATTCCGTCATCTGTAAACATCTGGTGAGTACTGAGAATTTGTGCATCAGGAAACATAATAGTAGATTACCTTTACCTGCCAAAACTATTTTTTCCCATCAAATATGAACATGACGTCTAAAATAAGTTTTACTTATTCCCCAGATATCTTTTCCTGTCAAAATATTTATTAGTCTACCCGCTAGTAAATAATTTTTCAAAATTATCAAAAGATTCCCTTAATGTATGCGCTTATGTTACAACTTCCTTTCACATATATACATAAGAGTGAGCGTAAAACCTTTGGTAGATAATTCAGATTAATTCTGTAATGTATCAGAGACGTTTTCGGTACAAAACTGGTTATTTCACCTTGTGACATCTTAGTGTTGTGAGAGATAAGAGGCAAGTGAACCTCATCTTCATTGTTAATCCTTTTGAGAAAATATTGGATCACTATTTGTTTTTAAAATAAACATTTTGGTTTCACTTTAGATTGTTGTGAAGTCGCCCAGCTTCATTGGCAGTATATTTATGCCAAGAAGAAGATTATGAGTCCAAGAGATAAGGCATACCAGCTAGTTGTTTGATAAAGTAATTCCCGGTTATCGAATTGACTGATTATAAAATTATACTACACAAATGAGATAGAACAAGACAAAGATGTCAACTTATATGCAACTTACTATTCCATCAAGCTTATCTGTATTGAGAAAACGAAATTTATGCTGTCCTGTAAATCTTGACAGCATTTGAATGATAGTATCACATTTCATTGTGTTTACCAATATACATGCTTGTGTGGTCAAACATACATAAGGAGGCCGCATCAGTTCCTGTAGTTTAGGTTAACGAAACTAACTCTTAAGTGGTAGCTAGAGAAAATGAAGTTATCGAACTCAGATAACCCTGGAGAGAGATGTTCACTCTTATCTATTTCAAAGTATATAACTGAGATGTAGTATAAAGGGGATTCTGTTGTAGATTTTAAAGCCATATATAAAATATGTTTCAGTTCCATACTTAAATTAAAAATTCCGGTTATAAAAGACTTAAACCTGCTTTTTGTTCAGAAATTATTTTAAAGTGATACAGAGGATTTTTACCTTAGGTGAATGATATTTGTGTAATTGTGTGTAGCTAGCTGCAGGTTTATTTGAGGAACTTCCATTGTCTTTCTAAACATCTTCAGTGAAGACTTAAGTATAGCTCCTAAATTAGCCTTTTGACCAATATTGCCGGAAATTTTACCTGACGTACTCTGTTAAAGAACCACTGGAAAACCTGGGAGTACTGGACTGCTGTTTTGTCCTAGTTTAGGTGCGTACTGAAGAAGATTCACAAACCACGAGGAAACAACACAGTGGATAAGATTTTATTTTGATAAATCACACAGTATTATACAATAATATTCTTTGATGACGTTTCGACCACAATTTATTGTTCATAATCATATCAAGTCACACAATACATCACAGATGTCAGGTGACTTATGTATTCCCATGACTTTTCTAAATCCATAAAGAGATGCAACTGATTTAAATTTCTGAACACACCATAACTGACTAATATTACGAATATTTTTAGAAGTTTTGCTAATTTATAGCAAATATTTCTAGACAAGTAAAGTTATCTTGAAGAAAAACATACTTTGAACAAAGTACTTCTATGAGTTGCTTGTCATCTGCAAACAAGAAACTTGAAGTCAATAATTATTATTTTCAAAGTGTAATACTACTTATCTTTCAAGTCACATGTAAACATTTCGTGCTATCTCGTAGAAAGAATATTCTCATGCATGATAGGCTTAGTTAACGCATATTCATCGAATCTCAAAAAGAGAAGTGAAAATGTTGGTGTTCCAAACAGTTATGTAACAAAAGCCATCTACTTATCCACAAGTATATTTAAAATAGTTGTATTTGCTTAAGTATGTTATTTGCTAAAATACAAATAGTGACGTTAAGAGTTATAAACACAAGGCGAATTACTTCCTTATTTTTCAAGTATTTGAAGGATAGATTAGTATGAAGATAACTACTGGAAATGACTGACTACTTGAGTTTCTACAATTCAATTAGTCGCTATTATTCGTCAGTAGAGGAAAGTGTTGAGCATGAGTACGGTGAGTAATAACAATCTCATGTAATTTAATTTTAATTTTTGATTATAGCTTGATTCCACACAGTACGTTTTGGTAGAAGTATGGAATTTTCAGCATGTGATATCGGTAGCCCAAATTTTGCAGGTTGACCATTGATATCAGGTGTGAATCGGCAGGGGATCGAACCCCGGAGCATGTGTGTGGTCGACAAGAGTCCTAACCGCTGTGCCACTGACTGGTGTTAAATATGACGTACAGTGACTGACTCATATAGCAACGTAGAGTTTGCATATTAGCATATTTTCTATCACATTTGGAAAAAGTATACACAAATAAAAGGAGGGAAATGCAGTGATGGCGATCTACTGCCAGTCTTCTTGAATAATCACATTTTGTTAAGCATATCCATCGTCTTCACACCACCTTCATGATACAACCAATTTATGCCACTATGGTGTTAAATGATTTTTCTATCCTACCTTGTTTCACAACTTAAAGGACCAGTTAGTATAGCTCATTGGGACACTGAAATATAACAGTCGAACCTTCAAGCCACGGTAACAGTTATCAGTAGGTTGCTCCCAGTCAGAAGTATCATTTAGTGAGTTATATTTCCAGTTCAACTTATTTTTCAAACAATATTAAGACAGTTCAATAAAAACAAGTGGTCATGACTGGCGCTTCACAACCTATACCGCAGTAAAATTCGTTATGAGTTGCTTTGTAATATCCGGACACAGAAATTTTATAGTCTACCGATTAAATTGAGTTACTTTACAGTTAAATAATATTACAACTGTAATGAATTTCCTGGGTCTAAGATAAGGTTAAAGCATATGCTTACTTGATAATAATCTAGGCGATTATCTGATAAAGGTTTCTTACTGTGTTTAGACAGTCTGTACAATAAAAAGTTATAACTACCATATGCAGTGACCATATGCCAAGCAAGTATGGTGAACTTACATGTGTTCAATTTTTATCAGTATTGATCACAAGATCTGATAAATACATAATAAGGCAAATATTTAAAGTGGAAGTACTCTGTTTTCTAATACGCTTTTTGTAAGCAAAATACTGAAAAGGCTATTTATAGTAACTTCAAACTGCGAATAAGTTCAAAACTGATCCGAATGAATGATTGTTACTTTAGTTCCACTTATAAAGATTGGCACAACTTGTAGATGTCAGTTTCTGATAGTTACACTTCTCATGATAGAGTATGCACAGTTTTGAAGCAATTTTGATCGTTCTCAAACCAGCAGAAGTGCAGTTATGCACAGATGTATTTTCGAAGTGTAAAAAGTGCAAATCACTATCAGCGAGAGAAATTTGAAGGAAGTCACTTCCCTCACTTATCCGGTTAGGAAGCATCGTTTCAACCACACGTGACAGCACGGATGAAGATGTCAAAGCCAGCCAGAATCCAAAAGGCAAGATCACCTCCATCAATCTGAAATCAGTTTGGTAAGCTTCTGTACTCAGCATAAGAACAAAACTCGGATTTGCAATATCAATGTGAAGTCAGTCAGTTCGTCTACATGCGTCAGAAACATGGCTCACGCTTCACGAAAAGCATTTCCAACAGCCACCTGCAGACTTTTATCAACAGCTACATCGGCTTGCTCCATATTGAAGATCAGATTGTGAGAAACAACTAGCGACAATAAACTGTAGTGACAAACCAACTGAGAGCTTATTCTTCAACAGATATGCAGGAGAACATAGAGTTGCATTGGACACACGCTGGGGAGACCGTCGAATGACGTCTCGTTTCAGGCTGTTTCTCGAGTGGAACCCGAATGGAAAGCAACAAGTTGTGCCTGGTTTCGAAGGTGATATCGAGGATTTCATGAAAGGAGAAGATGAGAGCCTATGGGCAATCGTGTAGCCAACTAAAGAGAACCGCAGAGAACGGGAGAAAGTGGAGATATGCTGTTGAAGCCTTTGTCCCACTCGGAAAATTAATAATTTATTGTTAAAATTTGAAGGCCATAAGAGCTGGTGAGGGCTGAAGATTTAAGGACTCATGAGCGATAGCGACAAGGTTCACCAAGTGATTGAAATATAGTATTATTCTTTACCAGAGTCTTGTATTTCATAAAAACACAACATGAACAAAAATGAAGCACGACTGTTTTAGCATGTAACTATTGGTTATAGTTAAAACAGTCAATTCTATCATATTCACTGTTTTGAAAAGTCTATGTTTGTGAAATAATCACATTTATTTGCAAGCTGTATTCAAAACTTATTCCTTCACTCAAAAGTTCACATGCTTATAGAACGTAGTTTTCGGTAAAATTAACAATTTTTAATTATCGAAGGGATAATTCATTTTTCGGCGAACCGTTTGCCAAGACGTAAAAACTGCACACGCTTTTGAATTTCTCTCGATATTGGGCTCATGTAATCTTCATATCCATTAAAGGCATCATTATCATATCCAATTGGATTTCGATAACTTTCTGCAATTTGACTTAAGAGAAATACAGAGCAGAGAACTGCCAGTAGTATTTGTACGAACCTTTCGGAAAATTAAAGAAAAGATTCAATTAGATATGATATCACTACATTAGGAATTATAAGGGATAAATGTAATTAGTTCTTTTTAAATAGAACATTACCACTGGTGAATTCACTCAAATGTTTCTTTTCAACACCCTACAGTATAAAATGATACATCACTAACTTCTGCTAGGCAAGTGAATTTGTTAACTGCCATTTCCTCTCAAAACCACAGTGATTCATTGATATCCGTTAAAGGAAGAAATGAAAACGCATGTCTTACTTATGTTGGAAATAAGTAGTTAGAATATCAGTCACACAATAAAAGCTTTATAGTAAATTACTGGGCAAAACAGAACCATATATTCAAATGGATTAGAGAGAATAACGCTTTCAAGAATAAGATTGATAAGTACAGGTTGGCTTTAAAACACACTTCATCACTGCTGAAATTAATTGCAATCATCTCTCATTTTCTGATGAATTTAACATTTGGTGAGGAATGTATGGTTAAAAAATTGATAAGAACTGTGAAATATTCAGCTTCTCAAGAGTGGTAATCATGGATACATGTTGTGCAATCTGTTTAATTCAACAAAATAGGAGCTTATTGAAGAATAGTTTTCAAACTAGTTGGATCAGTATATTTCTGAAATCTTCTGAAGTTGTTGTTACATTAAAATTATGATTGAACCACTAGTCAAAATTATGAGTTCCAGGTGCATTTCCTCCCCACCACACACACACCCCTTGCTAGTAGTGTTCAGCCTGGCGAAATCCCAGATGTCACTGTTTGTTTGGAAGATGTACACATCAGAAAATCTCAGGGTTAAAGTCAAGGACTGCACAGTAGAGGCTGCTGATTTTGATATTGGAAATGTATTAGTACCTTTCGCCTAAATGTGTTTTATAAAGTATAAAGCTTGTGTCTATACCTTCCACTGCATTCCCTGCAACCACGTAATATTAGCTGATTTGTTTTGTGCGTATCTGTGTCTCAGGAAATTAACAATATTGATAAATGCAACAGTTATTTTGCATTTCTATTAATTAAAATACAAATATTGGTTGTTTTTTGTAGGGATTTTGTTTGACTGGTTAGAGGATTTCACCATCGACCGACATCAGTTGGAGAAGAAATGGAAATTCTGTGTGGATGGTAAATAAGGGATTGTCACAAACTGAGACGAAACAGCTGTCCAGTAGTTTCAGGTTTCCTAATGGTTCAATAACTGATGTCAGCTCATGATGAAATCCTCCAACCAATAAAATACAAATACTACTTTGTTGGGTATTTAAAATGCTAGTTTATATATATTTATACTGAAGAGATTCGTCAACCGTAACGAGAATGTACACTGTATCATGGAGTAATATTTCTCTCTAATAAATTAATTTCATTAACACTGGAAGTAATCATTCATGTCTCATATCTAATTTACTCCAATTTGCATTATAACCTATTTTTCAAAAATCATGTATACAAAATTTAAAACAGTGAATTTGTCTTATTATTTAATAAAAATAAATAACAGACTTTTATTTAGAAAAAAGACCTTACAGTTAATAATAAGACAATTCTAAGATAAAAGAAAATAACAGTTAAATGAAATCTAACAGGAACTATCTACTTCCGCTGTAATAATAACGACATGGTCTATTTCTATTCATTCAGTTGGAATCTGTGTACACGGAAATAATTCATCACGCAAACATTTCGCCAGTGAATATTCAAATGAAGTCTTGGCAAAATGATATGCGAAGGATCCAATCACTTTTGTTCTCTTCCAGACAAGAATGAAAATAGCTTTGTAGAACCAGATATTGCTCTAAATTCATGAAGGTTGGAAAAACTGAAGCTCAAACTCACACTCTAATTACATGAACGAGAATAAACTAAATTCATGAACAAGATTTGGGCCTGACGCTATTGAGTGTTGGTTTGAGTATTGAGAGGAATGTTCATACACTAACTAGCCTACTTGACCAAGAAGCTAAAATACCCCAATAAACTATCCGAAATGAGTCTTTTAATGAAAAATTTTAGCGCTTTTAAGCCACAGTCAGCAGTAATTTCGATGAACTGTAAATGTTTTGCATTTGATTGTCTGACATATCTTTCAATTGGTTAACCAATATTGATGCAGTGGATGATGTTTAAATGTGAAAAAACTGGTTACGGTAGGATTCAAACCAAGACTGCTACTTACCTCATCCAATGGAACAACTTTTAAAAGATCCTTTAATCTGCTGAAAATTCTGGAGTAAAGGCTGTATTATTAGATGTCATTTCTGATGAATGTGACTCATAGTATAAAAACAGCAAACAAGCGAGCACGTGACCAGCTCTTTATTCATTTCATATGAATACTTTGCTATACGATGTGACTAACATACCCGCTGCATTTTCTTCAACATAGCTTTAAAATTATTTTCAATATCTTAAGAAAAAAATTAGTTGACATTTGTTTGATGATACTGTTGAAAGTTACACTGTAGTTTTGAAAGTTACTGTCTTAATTGCGTTCATTTACCTCAAAAAAGTTCTCAGATGGTTTGATCGACAGGATTCTTGAAATGTTTCTTACTTTGTTGATTTCACTAAGAGTTTATTTCTGCTGCTGCTGGTGGCTGCTGGATTCAACATAGAACTTGGCACCGAAGTGCAGAAGTTCGAGTTGCCACGTTCCAAATAGCACACAAAGGTAGACAGGAAAAGGAGAGAAGAGAATCAATAGAATTTAGATAAGTATAAGATTGAAACAGAATGAGTAATGGTAGAAAGGAGTATGAAGGTTAAAGAGACTGAATACATCTGCGTAAGCCATTGACAACGATTTTGAGCCATGTCACCTATTGTCTCCAGACATTGATTCTTAGAGTCCCGAGGACGGGCCCCAAACCGGAAGTCTGCATCTCCCTACCTGACCCAGTTTAACTGTCAGGGATTTCATGGATTGATGCCATGTTTTTGTTTGGCCACCGCTTACTCTTTTCCAACCTGCACCTATATCAGCTAGTAATGCCCGTCGGGGGAGACGATGGTCAGGCATGCGCAGCACGTAGCCTAACCATCTCAATCTATGTAACTTCATAGCCTCTTCGATTGATTTTCCCTCTTTGCCGAACACTCTACGCCTAACGTCAACATTACCTACCTTATTATACCACCTAACGCGAGAAATAGATCGTAAACATCTGTGGTCAAAAACAGACAATCTCTTCATGTCTTCCGCTCTCAATGGCCACGTCTCACCGCCATAGAGAAGGACGGAGCGAACTGCTGAGCGGTATACACGTCCCTTGGTTGACAGCCGGATGTCACGCCTACGCCAGAGACGGTGTAAGCTAGCGAAAGCAGCCCTAGCTTTCTGGATCCGTGATGAGATTTCGTCACCAATCAATCCGTTGGTGCTGATGCAACTTCCCAAATAGGTGAAGTGGTCAACATGTTCTATCACTTCACTCCCTATCACTAAGCTAGGAGTTGACGTAGTCCAGTCCTGTAGCAGCATCTTACATTTCACAGGGGCGAATCGCATGCCAAACATACGAAGATTGCTGCTCAAGGTGTTCAGAAGACTCTGCATTTTGTCAGCGTCCTCCCCTAACAGGACTAAGTTATCTGCATATTCTAAGTCCATAAGATTATTCCCTGGTAACAAGTCGATTCCTAAGTCGTTACGTTCAGTTAAGGATACTTCCATTAGCATATCTATGATGAAGTTAAACAGAAAAGGGGAAAGTGGACATCCTTGACGGACACCACTAGTTGTTATCAATTCAGATGACAATTCCCCATAAGCCCTTACACAGCTACGTGAGTTTGAGTAGAGTGCCTTGATTAGTGCAATGTACTTTCTTGGCACTCCCTTCATAGTCAAACATTGCCATAGAACCTCTCGATCCACGGAGTCGAAGGCCGCCTTCAAGTCAAGAAATATGGCAATTGTTGGACGCCTAAAAGTGTGTCTATGTTCTAGGATCTGTCGGAGAGTGAAGATGTGGTCTATGCACCCTCTACCTGGCCTAAAGCCCGCTTGATTTTCCTTCGTTTGTTCCTCCCGAGTTCGGCTTAGTCTGTTCATGATTACTGAGCCTAGGACTTTAGAGACTATGTTCGTTAGGCTGATTCCTCTATGATTATCACATGACGACTTGTCTCCCTTCTTGAAAATCGGTATAATAAGTGACTTACCCCAGTCTGATGGAACCGTCTCTGATTCCCAGACGTTACCTAGTACCTTAGTTAAACTATATACTAGTATGTCACCCCCATATTTAAATACCTCCGGAATAATTCCGTCGGGTCCTGCCACTTTGCCTCGTTTCAAATTACAGATTGCTTCGGTGAACTCACTTACAGACGGCGGGCCAGTGTCTATGTCCCATTCGGGTGTGTGCTGGATGGCGGGGATGCTCAGTGTGGCTGTAAGCAAGTTAAACTGTTCCTCGAAGTGTTCTTTCCAGCGTTCGAGGCGTCTATCCTGAGAGCTAATTAAGGAGCCATTTTTCTCACAAATAGTCTCACTTATGATTTGCCTTCTCCCACCCGTTTCCCTGATGAGTCTAAAGAGTTGCCTAGTGTTGCCTATCGCCGATGCTTTTTCCATCTCTTTCACCTTTGTCAACCACCACTGTTCACGGTCCTTGCGGGAACTTTTCGTAAGTTTCCTTTTGTGCAGCTTTCGCTCCTCATTGAATTCGGAGCTCGCCGGAATAAGTCTTCTAGCATCTATCAGTTCGGATGAGGTAGTCGAAATCCAATGGTTTTTACTCGCCTTTGGATTTACCTTATTCACAGCTTTTACAGCTGTATCTATGGCTGATTGAATATTCTTCCAGGCTTCTTCAGGGTGAGTGCAGCTGTCGAACTCAGATATGTGTTTAGCTAGTTCTTCCTCAAATAGGGACTTAGTTTCCAGATCGAGCTGGGGACATGATGGGTTTACCGCCAGCTGTTTCCTACGTCCGTTCAGTCGTAAGCACACACGAGCGCGGACCAGTGCGTGATCGGTA